GAGATGTGTGGCTAGCGTTGAGCGCAAGGGAAGGGGAGTTGCATGCCGGGGAGGGAGGGGAGGTTGCACGCAGAGGAGGGAGGGGGAGAGGGAGTGGTGTCAGGGGGAGGTGGGAGTGGTGGCAGGGGAAGGTGGTGGTGGTGGAAAAGGGGTTTTGAATTTTTTTGTTTTGTATTTTTGTTTTAATTTTTTAAATAATCTAAAAAACAATTGACCTATTGTTTTGGGGTTTTTTGTACGTACCCGAATGGAGGGTGTGTACGTCCCTCGGGAGACAGATCTGCAATGCAACACTCGAACGACCCGATCACCTGCAAAACAACGGACCCGGGGGGGGGGGGGGCGGAGGTCCGCCTCCAACGATCAAGTCAGTGACCGAAATAATGTATTTTAGAGAGAGAAAGTAGAGAGAAGGGAGAGTAAATGTGGGGGACATTTCCCTTGGAGAGAGAATTCGCCCCTGAAACTGATGTAATGATCAGTATTTATAGAGCATTGGGATATGTGCCTCTTAGGTTATTTAACCTAAGTAGATTGGCTTCCCACCGTTTTACGGTTTCTAGGGTTGTGGGCTTAGAGCCCATTTTCACCCTTCTATCATTGAGTGACACGTGTCATGCTCTAATTGGCTAATTGAGCGCTGAGCTTTCGGACACGTGTCGAGGTGGCATCCACATATATAGGGGTATTTTTACCCCCAAACATTAGCCCCTTGGAAGGGGTAATTTCTCTTTCAAGAGGAATTTCTCTTTTCGAAATCAAGGCTTTATTTTCCGCTTGTTCAAAAGCTCTATGGGCGGCATATGTCTAGTTCAATAAAAGAGGGATTTGATTAACTTGGAAAATCTGATACCTTAAATGGTATGATATTTTCTAAGTTAATCAATCATAATAATGATTGCCGCCTGAACTAGACAGATGACGACTTTTATTTCTTTTAGCCCCACTATGGTGGTCATATGACCTTTAAGAGACTTAGAATATTTTTGAGACGTTTGACATCCCATAAGGCAGGAGACGAATGGCTGCCTGGGGGGCAGGAGGCAAATGGTCGCCTGGGGGCAGAAGGCAAATGGCCGCCTGACTATTCACAGGGCAGGAGGCAAATGGTCGCCTAGGGGCAGGAGGCAAATGGCCGCATAACTCTTCACAGTGCAGGAGGAAAATGTCGCCTGGGGGCAGGAGGCAAATGGCCGCCTGACTATTCACAGGGCATGAGGCAAATGGCCGCCTGACTCTTCATAGGGCAGGAGGCAAATGGCCGCCTGACTATTCATAGGGCATGAGGCAAATGGCCGCCTGACTCTTCATAGGGAAGGAGGCAAATGCCGCCTGAGGGAAAGAGGCAAATGGCCTCCTGACTATTCACAGGGCAGGAGGCAAATGGCCGCCTGACTCTTCATAGGGCAGGAGGCAAATGGCCGCCTGACTATTCATAGGGCAGGAGGCAAATGGCCGCCTGGGGGGCAGGAGGGAAATGGCCTCCTGACTATTCATAGGGAAGGAGGCAAATGGCCGCCTGACTCTTCACAGGGCAGGATGCAAATGGCCGCCTGACTATTCATAGGCAGGAGGCAAATGGCCGCCTGGGGTGTTTGTAATCCAATTATACTTTCAATGTCTTTCTACCCCATTGGGAGGACTTTTATAATTTCGGAAGGTAATCTAGGTTAGAACTTTGGTCGATCACCGGCTAATGTCTTTTGGACATCCGGTGTTCCGAAAACTTAGTCGTTCTTTAGACTGTTCTGGTCGGACGGCTATGAGTTGACCAATTTGGTCGTTCAATCTTTGCCGTCTGCATAGGTACGTAGAGCAAGCAAGCAGACTGCTCTCTGCGACGATTGCACCCGAAGGGGTGTCGTCGGACGCCATTGTCCATGTTGGGACAGACGATTTTATGAAAAAAGCAACCATCCGGCCATTGGCCTCTGGTCTAGGTTGAGACCGGCTGTATAGCCACTAAGCGGTTTTGTGCCTAGTTTAGTTATCTGGCCATTGGCCGCATGTCACTCAGACGTTGAAATCGCTACTAAGTTTCAAACTTAGTTTATTATCCGGCCATTGACCTCACGTCACTTGGACGTTAGTTTAGCTACTAAGCTTCAAACTTAGTTTATTATCCGGCCATTGGCCTCACGTCACTTGGACGTTAATTTAGTAGCTACTAAGTTTTTAACTTAGTTTATTTTAATGCATCAACATTATTTAGAGGAGAGTAAGTCAATTGTTACCTCAAATATTCAATGCTTGATGCTTAACCCATGTAATTGGGTAGCTTAGCCCTTGAAGAACCTTGGAAGGCCGGCTGCCGAGCTTAACCAAATGCGAAGGGTGCTCGACACTTATGCCGCCTGACCATTATACTCCCAAAGAGTCGATCTCCATTGTTGCTTTCAACATTATCATTTCCCGACTGGGAGGAGCTTGGTACTCAACCGTTTGGATGAATATGCGACAGCATTCTAGAGTCTTTATTTCATATAGGCGGCCATATCATAGGAGGCCGAGTGACTAAGCTTAAGGAAACAAACTTACTCTTCTCAGATTACACAAACACAACTTATGTTATTTGAACAAAAGATCATCAAATGCCGGTTGCCTCATTGATCAGGTGCCAACTTGATGCCACTTGACACATGGCCGGCTTACTAATAGATTATATAAGTGTAGTTGGCTAATTTAACCCACTCACTATTTTTTTTTATCATAATAATGATTGTAATTTTGCATGAAACCCAGCTAACTTCACGCAATAAAGCTGATTAAGGGGTGATACAGCCGCACTTAATTGACGATCAAGGATTCCCATGCCGCCTGCATACGGTTGCCGCTTGAACTAACTTTCAATTGAGCTCTTACTAGCTCTTACTATCAAGCGCAACCCGGCTGACACCATTGATAATGGTAACCGGCTTCTATGATACGAGTCGGCATACTCGCCGCTTGTATTGGAGTCAGCTTGGGCCGTTTGACTCATGCTTTCTCGTTTGGAACAAAACAGCCATTACAACCGGTATTGAGGTGGAAAAACACAACCATGGCAGCCGGCTTTGTTAAGGCTGAAAACCGCCCCTACAGCCGGCTTAATTGCTGAATATAGCAGCCTCTTCAGCTGGAGTTAGTTGAGGCACAAAGCAGCCCCACAACCAGGCTTAATAGAGGCAGACAGCAGCCCCTACGACTGGTAGGTGCGGCTGCTCCCCCAAGGTGAGCTAGCTTGCGAAATACATGGTCATCCGGGCATCGTTGCCGGCTGACATCATTGATGATGGTGACCGGCTGCCACCATTGATTGTGGTATCCGACTGATACATTTGATGATGATAATTGGCTTGATTTTCCGTTTGTATGTCAACATGATGGTGACCGGCTGCCACCATTGATTGTGGACATGCCGACTGTGTGCTTCAATTGAGAATAGTAAGATGACATTTTTGCCACACCCCTTTTGCCGCTTAGCTTATTTTACACAATTGCCGCGTGTATAGTAGATGGAAGATGAATAAAATATTACCAGCTTGTACATGCGGCTTTCCCATCATCCATCCTAATACCAGCTTGTAGCAAATGGAGGATGAATAAAGTAATACCAGATTGTTGATTACCAAGGCCGGCTGTAACATTAATTCATGCTATTACATGCGGCTTACATGGATATTAATGCCGCATGCATAGCCTTGTAAATAAGATATTGCTCTTCCAAATCTTTGTCATAAATATGAACAATAACAAATGGGAAGAGTAGGCTGTTTGAGAATAAATAACCAAGCGCTTAGCCTATTTCATTCAGCTGCAGCTTCTATTAATCAAACAAACAACCAAGCAGCCGGCTTTGAGGTTGAATAAGGTAACCATGGCAGCCAGCTTTGAATAGAGCAGCCGCATAATTGATGACGGTGACCGGCTGCCACCATTGATGAAGTTGATACTTTTGATAAAGTTGTCGGCTGCCGTTTGATTGATCGGTGCAAAGGCCGGTAATGAATACCACCTGATCACCATCTTTGCTATATGGAGATGAAGCTCCACTTTGCATGAATGAGCGGCTCTCGTTCTTTCCCACAAATGCCATATGCATGCGGCTCTTCATATATGAATATGAATTCCGTTGCAAATGGAAGAGGAATAAAATAATACTTGTACATGCGGCATTACCATCATTCATGGAGAATTGATGCTTAAGTTTGGCCGCATGTCCCCCACTAATTCCAAGAGTTTATTCTTGAAAAAACAATTTGTATAATATTATGTATATAATAATACAATTGGTGTGATGTTGATACACTAGTAGAAAAATTGCATTTGGCACCCCCCATATGGCACCGGTTCAGCCCAAACCGGTGCCAAAAACCGGCCCAAAATTGGGCAGGATTTTAAACAAAGGGAAAAGGCACCGGTTCAATTCAAACCGGTGCCAAAAATGTAAAAGGCACCGGTTTGAACCGGTGCCTCATTTGAAAAAAAAACCGCGTCTTCTTTCTTCCTTATTCTTCCTTCTCTTTCTCTTTCTTTTCATTTTCGCTATTCAAAATTATCTTCTTCACTGTTCCATTCTCTAAACCCCTCACCTCACCTACGAAACCCCTCACCTCACCGCCGCAACAGTCGCTGGCCACCATCACCGCCGCCACCCCTGGCCTTCTCTTTCTCCCCTGCCATTCTCTTCTCCCCTGCCATCTCTTTCTCCCCTCAGCTCAACCCCCTCCACGCCGACGTTACTTGGACCTCCAATGTTTCTGAATTCTTGCTGAAGGTTGCTTGGTAGCTCGGTACCGTTGATGTTAACAATAGTTAAGCCGGTAATTTCTGGATCTGAATCTATGAACATTACAGTCTCGCTTTGAATTGCTAATCCCTGTGCCGATTTTGGTAGTAATTTGTTTGATTATTGATTTTTGTTAGATTTAGGGTTTCAGATTTCAAATCTAGTTGTTATTTTTATAGGTGGGATGCTTCACTTAGTTTTCCACAATCGTTGAGAAATATTTCCTTTGGAGAAGAGGTCCCAACATCATCAACAAATGTGTTTCATCCTCCCGGAGAAAAAACTTCCGAAGCTTTATTGAAGAAGAATGGTTGAATGTATTCTTTCATCTTCTCTACCTCTGCAGTTATATGACTTGGTTACATTATATCATGATACATTATTTTACTAGATGCATCTTGTCTGTTGCGGCTTCTACATTAAACAGATGTTTCCATACAGCGTATTGTGCTTTTGATTGAACATGAAATCAGTAGAAGTTTATTGAGTAGAAGAAATTTTGTTGATTTATTGTATGGACTTTATGAGATGATGCCTGAAACCTTATAAATGGGGGAAGGCATTGCTAGCTCCTCATGTTATAATTAAAGATTACGAAATAATCATCATTAGTTAAGATCTATGGTGCATTACATATATGTCAGATTGTGTTAGAAAAAAGTAATGCATATCCCTTGTCTATGGATTTTCATCATGTGTTAGTCTCTAAATATTGAAAATTGTTCTTGGTGACTTTTTTTTTTTTTTTTTTTTTGCAGGTGACTGTCCAACAATTACTGGCTTAGTTCAAAGAAAGCCTGGCCGTGGTGCCACGACTTCTTCTGTTAGCTGTTCTGACAAAATAGCACGCTGGAATGTTGTTGGAATACAAGGTTAGTCATGGAGGGTTCCATGTGTGTTAAGGATTATGATCTTTTAAAATAAAGCCTTGAGCAAACAGACCTCAATTTTGATGTGATTTCTTGTGTGTCAGCTCTGTTTGTGAAGAAGTTTGGTAATTTGATCTTTCTATTGTCAATGAAAAACTTAAAAAAAATAGGTTTAGATCTTTTAAATTTATTCATCCTATCCATGGAAAATGCTAGAAACTCCACACATAACAAAAGGAAGCTATAGAATGCATAGAAGAAAAAAAAAAGCAGCAAAGATTAGTCAAGATTGGAGTTAACTGTTTCGGTCATGATTTGTTGGGATAAAGAACAAAGAATGTAGAAAGCTACAAGGCAATCAGAAACGCAACATTGGTATCTGAATATGAGGAAAAAAATAAAAAAAATTACAAGTCTGTTTACGAATAGAAACATCATTTATTTAACTGTTAGTCTGTTACACATAGATCTATGGTATGTCTTTGATAACGAGATGTCTACTTTACTTTCGTATCAGGTGCAATGCTTTCCTACCTGCTCCAACCTGTTTATATTTCTTCAGTCACTATTGGGCAATCATGCAGTAGTTCTCAAACCCTTTCTCTGAAGGAAAACTTGAGGAGGGCATTGTATGATAGGCTAACACCTATATCAAATATGTTAGTTGATCCTTTTCTAATTAATGAGGTATGCATAGTGTGTTAAATGTCAATGCAGTATGCACTTCGACTCATCATAAAGGTGGCCTCTTGATTTTGCAGCCTTTATTTTTTGAAGCTCCTGTCCCACCTAAGGAATTTCAGCATCTTGGTTCTGCTCAGGCGACTTTAACGTGTGGGTGAGTCTTCATTTGGTTGTTCATTTCCCGGTGGTGGATATGTGACTTTGAGTTGCAAAATTCAAGCCACGGTGCTGTGCAGGTACTCCATATGCTGGAATAAACATGAATTACATGAGGTTATCCTTGGGACAACTGGAAGAAAGCAAGGAACCTCTTCAAAGGGAGCATTATTTCCATCCACGGAGTCATCCTTGTGCAAGTAACTTTTAATTGCTGCAATATATTTGTTTGCTCAACTTTTTTTGTTCATGGTAATGTTTCTTAAGGATAATTATCACTTGGCTGAATTTTTTATAAATATTTGTAAAATTATTAAATTCTGGTAAGTCATGTACTAAAAATGTTTAAAATGACTTTGCTTACATCTGGACAACTTGATTTCCTTAGAGGCTTGAACTTTGTTAGGTTATGGTGGTAGTGTTGATAATATTTGTGTGTTATAGTTATAAATAGTGTCAGGTACTCAGGTGTCACTCTCTATCTCATGTCTTATATTCATTACTGTGTATATTGCAGGAGGAGATTGTTGGAATGTTTTTTGTCATCGAGGTGCAATTCTTTGGATGATTGGAAAAACAAAACGATGTCATATAGAGAACTTAAGGTAACATGGCATTGGCTTTGATCCCCCTTCACTGAAGTGATTTTTTGGAAGTGCCCTTCCCCTTAGAAAGTATATCATCCTTGCATATAAAGGTGAATTAACTCTAGGAGACAGAGGCTTCTTATAATACAACCTGAGCCAACCTTAATAAGAGGTCCATTTATGGGCCAGGGATTTTGAATTACTCCATGAGACCCTAAGATGTCATGATATTGAGCTGATAATGATTTTGTTTTGTACAATGCTAAAATCTCCCAAGGGCTTCTGTGTTTGATATGTGTATGGTAGTGTGGATTTGGCATTGATGAGATGAGATTGTATGAATGTCATAGAGAGTCTTGTAGAGTAGTGATGTAGAAGAGATTGAATACCAGCATTGAATATTAAGTTGATCAAACTTGTTCTATGGTAGTAAATATTTGCTAATTTCCTTTGCATGTTTCACTGATGTGATTTGTTTGTCATATGCTAGTGCGCACAACAAGAGAATGGACTTGATTGTGCTTTGTATGTGATGAGATTCATGCTTGACATTGTGACTCATTGTACGGACACTCAACAGCTTGATGAGGTAAGTCCTAAAACTTCTTGAAATGCTATATTGATGTGATTTCACGCCTTAGACACTTAATATTACCCAACAATGGCATGTTATGAGAAACAAAAAAGCTATTTCACAAGAAAGGTAGAAAATGGGCTGAATAGAAGTCATATGGGCCATGTTAGGGCCATTTTGTGTTAATATGCTCTTTTGATGTGATTTCTTTCCTTATACACATATAACTAGATAATATTGACATGTTATGAGATAAATAAAGTTCATTTAATAAGAAATGTAGGAAATGGGCAAAGTAAGGTCATATAGGCCATATTCGGGCCATTTTGAGTAAAAAGCGTCGTAAACCTTAATAAAATGCTCTCCTATACAATTTTAGGGCTTACACACATACAAATATCCAACATTGACATGTTATGAGAAAGAAATAGTTCATTTGATAAGTAATGTAGAAAATGGGCTACATAGAAGTCATATAAGCCCTATTTGGGCCATGTTGAGTAAAATGCGTTGTTAAACTTCTTGAAATGCTATATTGATGTGATTTCTAGCCTTAGACACCTAATATTATCCAACAATGACATTTTATGAGAAACAAAAAGGCTATTTCACAAGAAAGGTAGAAAATGGGTTGAATAGAAGTCATATGGGCCATATTAGGGCCATTTTGTGTTAATATGCTCTTTTAATGTGATTTCTTTCCTTATACACCTATAACTAGATAATATTGACATGTAATGAGATAAATAAAGTTCATTTAATAAGAAATGTAGGAAATGGGCAAAGTAAGGTCATATAGGCCATATTCGGGCCATTTTGGGTAAAAACCGTCATAAACCTTAATAAAATGCTCTCCTATACAATTTTAGGGCTTACACACATACAACTATCCAATATTGAAATGTTATGAGAAAGAAATAGTTCATTTGATAATTAATGTAGTAAATGGGCTATATAGAAGTCGTATAGGTAATATTTGATAAAATACATATTTTTTGCCTAATTAATTATTTTTAAAATAATGTTTTTGTATTTCAAGTTTTGCAAGGTCCAAAAGGATGGTCCGTTGACAATCAAGGAGCTTAATGAAGTTCGTGACATGTTGGCGTCTTTCATCACCTTCAACATGTAAATGGCATGCATTGTAATTGTAAATTATTTATGTTAACTTTTGAACTATATATAACTTATTATTCATTATATATGTGTACTTACTATTATTTGTATATGTAAGCAACTTTTTTTTTTTTGTATTGTGTTTGGGAATATTTATATCTATATATATATATAATTGAATTCTTGTATCTAATATTATTTTTGTATATAATAATTAATAATATTATTATTAGTTATTATAATAATAAAATTATTAATTATTATATTTAATATAATTGCTGGAATTACAGGGTATTATTATTGCAGGTTTTTTTTTTAAAAAATATTATTGCACGATTGAAAAAAAAAAACGAAAAAAAAAAAATTATACAAAAGGCAACTATCCACCACCCAAAAAAAAAAATGGCGGGAGAGCAGTATTAGGCACCGGTTAACCGGTGCCTATTCTACCCTATGGCACCGGTTAACCGGTGCCTATTAAACCCTATGGCACCGGTTTTGAACCGGTGCCAAATAGGGGGTTTGTGGCACCCCTCAAATAGGCAGCGGTTCAAACCGGTGCCTTAGACCGGGTTTGAACCGCTGCCTAATGCGTTTTTTCTACTAGTGATAGTATCAAACTATCAATCAAAGATAGCATTAAGGCCGGCTGTATGATCCGGCTGGGTGGCCTGAGCATGCGACCGGCTCATTAAATGAGTCGGATTAAAGTAGTAGAGTTGGCCAATTTAGCCGTCTCTCTCCTAATAAAATTTAGATTAAACGACATTGCCATTTAACCATCAAATAGGCATGACTTAGTCTGACAGGCCTTTTTGGCCGCCTGACTCTCAACATTTAGCCGCATGACGCCTGCTGTACTTGACATCCGGCCTCATGACGCCTGCTGCCTCCCTAAGGAGGCTCCCCTCTTGATTCGGTGATCCACAACCGTTGTGCCATTACAGATGTGTCTCCCCACAGACGGCGCCAAATGTTTTGGGGTTTTTTGTACGTACCCGAATGGAGGGTGTGTACGTCCCTCAGGAGACAGATCTGCAATGCAACACTCGAACGGCCCGATCACCTGCAAAACAACGGACCCCGGGGGGGCCGGAGGTCCTCCTCCAACGATCAAGTCAGTGACCGAAATAATTTATTTTAGAGAGAGAAAGTAGAGAAAAGGGAGAGTAAATGTGGGGGACATTGCCCTTAGAGAGAGAATTCGCCCCTGAAACTGATGTAATGATCAGTATTTATAGAGCATTGGGATATGTGCCTCTTAGGTTATTTAACCTAAGTAGATTGGCTTCCCACCGTTTTACGGTTTCTAAGGTTGTGGGCTTAGAGCCCATTTTCACCCTTCTATCATTGAGTGACATGTGTCATGCTCTAATTGGCTAATTGAGCGCTGAACTTGCGGACACGTGTCGAGGTGGAATTGGTCCACATATATAGGGGGTATTTTTACCCCCAAACACCTATTAGTAGCTGACATGTGACATATAACTTACAAAAATCGGTCATCAACAGGTGATAGACCTGTCAAAGAAGGTGGAGTATAAAGGTTGGATTTTTATAAGATTAATGACAGGTTGGTTTTTTATTGTCAGACTGCGCAAAGGTTGGATTTTTAGTTTCTATTTTTCCTAAAATTTTATATTTCAATTACTATTACACCTGTCAATTCCTAACCCGAATTCGAATTATTACTACTCCATCCGTCTCCAAAACTTTGACTCTTTTGGATTGATTTCGCGGTTATTAAGAAACTTAAATAAAAAGAAATAAAAACATATTGAAAAGATAAATTTACATGGGGTTTGTAAAAAAATAGAGAGATAAAGTATTAAACATGAAAAGGCAAAATTTTATATGGGAAAGTTAATTTTGCACAAATATTGTTGTAAATTGGTGGGTATTTTAATGCCAACGAGTCGATCATCTTGGGACTTAAATTAGGCCAAAAGGGTTGAAGTTTTGGGGACGGAGGAAGTAAGAGAGAATCCAATTTGGTCGACCTGACCCGACCCAAATGACTTGAAATTGACCCGTTTATCATAATTTGTAATTATCTAAACAGCTCGAACAAAACGATCCAAACAACCCAAAATATGACCCAAACCTGACCTATTGACAGGTCTAATCTATTAACTATTACTAAAACAAAACACGCTGACATCACTAGAGAACACTTGTCAATTTCTTATGAAATTTTTTCCCGCCAAAGCTATTTTTGACACACTAGAAAATAAAATCTTTTTAGCAACTAAGTTTGGCAACAAATTTTTAAAACGTTGCTAAATAGCAACAAATCTAAATTTTTTCATTGCCTAATTAAAAGCGACATTTTATGCTTTAGTTTTTTAATAAACAATGGCTACATGTTTTTTATTTGTTGCTTTTTAAAACAAATTGTCTTACTAGTTGTTACTAGATGGCATCATATTTTTCTCTTGTTGCCAAATAGTAACAAACTATGACAACAAATAATTATTTGTATTGATTTGGAAACAAACAAAGGCAATGAATTTTTGAATTGTTTCCATTAGAAACAAGTCTTCTAAATTATTGTTGCTAATTGATAACGTATTATTTTATTCGTTGTCATTGGAAATGAGTTGTGCTACATATTGTTGTTAATTTATATGTAGGCCACTTTTTGCTATAATGTGTAAAATTATTTGTTGCTATAATGACATCAAATAGAGACGGATTTCAATTTTGTCTTTAATTTAGAGACGGATTTTTGATTTTTGTCCCTAATTTAGAGACAAAATTTTTCAATTTTGTCTCTAATATTTCATTAACTTATTATAAATTATATGCATAGAAGTAAACAAATAGTATTTGGTATAGTTGGTAAGAGATTCACCATGTGACTTTGAGGTCACAAGTTCGACTCCTACCAAATGCGATTCTTGAGACTGGGGATTCAAAGAGTCTTACATGCAAAGTCGAGTCGAGTTGACCTAACTTGAGTGAGATTTAAGATTAGTAAAGGCCGAGATCGGGTTGAACCGAATTGCTATTGGGGATTGGGTTTTTGTCTCGTAGTGTTGATAGCAACCAATATTTATGATTTGTTGCTATTTTTATGAACCAACTTTAATAATTTGTTGCTATTTTTAGGAACCAACATTAACAATTTGTTGCTATTTTAGGAACTAACATTAATAATTTGTTGCTAATTTTAGCAACGACCAATGGTAATCTGTTGACAACGAATGCACCAAAAACAGCAACAATCATGGAAACTATATTTAAATTGATGCAATATTACAACAAAATTGCTTTGCAACCGGTATCCAAAATCCCACGGCAACAAGCCTTGTAGCAACAACAAATTTTTGTTTCCAACCCGTTGCTAAATAGAGTTGGCAACGGATTTTTGGTGAATAGCAACAAATTTTGGTTGATGCTATATTGATTTTTTTTTTGTAGTGACATCATCATTTTTTACTCTAATTTTTTTCTCCTATGTTATGAAATTAAACCATTACAATATGTCTTTCAAAATTAATAAATAGGATTATGATTAAGGGCCTGTTCATATTTACTTATTTTCAGTTCAGTTCACTTCAGCTCCAATCAGTTTAGTTCAGTTCAGTTCAGCTCTAATCAGTTCAGTTCAGTTCAGTTCAGTTTTATGCATTTTAATTTTTCAATTCAATTTAGCTCCAATCAGTTCAGTTCAGTTCAGCTCTAATCAGTTCACTTCAGCTCAGTTCAGTAAATATGAATAGGCCTTAAACCATTTTGAATAAAGAATATTGACAACTATTTAAACAAATAAAATCTATTTAAAGGGATTAATCTAGTTACTATTATTACGTAGTATTTCAATTTTAAATAAAGAATATAAATTGTATTTACCTACCAGCTGATATTATTCGCACCCTAATGACGTGGCCTAATTTAACCGCCAAACTCTATCCACCCTATTAATAGCCCCTTTTTTCCGCCAAACTTATACTCCGTAATACCAAGAATTTTTACGCAATTAACTGAAGGCACAACCGTCCGATCATCTATTAACCATGCAATCTTAACCGTCCATTACTTTTCTTGATCCACTATATATATCTGACACTTTTATAAATTTCTGATTCCTTTTCTCTCTCCTCTTAACCATGTATTCTTCTCCTCGATCAGATTTCTCGAAACAAATTTTCTTTCTTCAAATTATTCAGTTAATCGTGCTTCAAATTAATCAATAAATCGTTCTTCAAATTCATTGATTAATTCTTCGATGGTTTATTTGGTTCGCGTCTATTCCCGATTATTTCTTCACTTTTTGCAGATTTGATTGATTTCGGAGGTATTAATTTATTACCTGATCTTATCTATTTAATTATAATTAATTTGCAGAAATTATGATTTCTTGAAATTATCGGACTTTTCTCTTGATTTTGGTAGAATTTTATGATCGTTTGGCGTTGTAGATTTGAATCTGATTCGAATAAGTTGTCTCTGCCTTTATTTGAATCGATTTTTCTGTTTGATTGTTGTTGTTCAAGCATGTCTATTTAGAATAAGATCGCTGAATTTTCCAGATTATTAAATTTTTATTGCACAATTGCTTAATCGTATGACTTTCCCGTTATATTTCTTTTGTTTAATTTAATTGAAATTTACGAATATTTAGGTTAATTTTTCTGTTTGGATATGAATATATCTCTGTGAATTTAGGCTATTTTGTCTGTTTGGATTATATCGCTACTATTTCAAGAATTTGATTGCTGCATGTATCTCTCTTTATTGTTGGAAAACTTGAAATTGGTTATTGTTTTCGTTCTATTGATTCTCTATTAGTATGTGATGAATATTAAATTTTGAAATTGAAATTTAAAGATCATGTATGTAAATGATTTCATGCGATTCAAGAAGCTTGATTCATCTTTGCTTGTTTGGTTAGACGAATTTATGTGTTTAGCTTGAGCGTGTTGATTTCTAGTTTGATTGAAAATCTTACAGTCGCTTGATTTTTATTATATTGCTGGTTGGAACCAGGACTCTTGCAGTGCTCTGATATTTGGACTAGACGACTAGTGGTTTGGTCTTGCTTGATCGTCGGATGTTCTGCGCGATTCAGCGAGCTGATAGGGCCATAGAAGATGATGGCTGCGCTGCTGTTTGGCTCTCCCAATTTTATGGTGTGTTCATATAATATGTACTGTGTTATTGGTGAGTTTATTATATGTGGATGAGATAGACAGATAGTGGCATTATTAGGGTTAGTGTGTTGGGGAGAATGGAGTGTTTTCCTTGTTGTGAATTTGGAGTGTTTTCCTTGTTAGTCGACCTTTGCCATGTTGGGTGCGCTTGCTTGGCAGGTCACAATGTCAATAAAAGATCGTTTTTGTGGTTTTGTTGGGAGATGGCACGGGGTTTTTCCCGGCTCTCCCAACGGTGTGTGCGTGTGTTGTTTCTGTTTTTCTTTATTTGTCTCCCTTTCCCTGCACCCGTTGCGCTTGAATCATCAACTCCATCGCTATTGTCGCATTGATCAAATCCACAATCAAATGATTGCGTTGGACAACATATGGCCAAGATCCAAATTTGCCAAGGTATATTTATCAAAATCCTTTCTAATTTCCCTCTTTCACTACTTAGTAGTTAGTACGACTAAATTGCAATGCAATCTGCAAAGGTGAAGGTGGTGTCATTATTCACATCAAGGCGTCTTACAATTGGTGTCTTCGAAATTGTTTGCATGCACAGAACCTTACTCTTTGAAATTTTGCATATTAGGGCTTCAAGGCCTCCTACAATTGTCTTGTACAGAGTATATTTTGGGAAATTCTGCTTATTTAGAACTTAATTTATTTTCAGAATGTCGAGCATGTAGAACGTCTCTTCATTAAGTTACCCATACAAACTTACTCCATAACTTCCATGAACATAACTTCCATGAACATTCTCATGTGGAAAGCTACATTCAGTTCCCATATTTATCCAAAGGATAGGCAACCATGTTCTTGCATAAGCTACTCTGATTAAGCAACTGACACGCAATTTGTAGAGGGTATTGTAAATGTGAATACTACTTGCCAATTGCACAGATAGGTCATCCTTGTTTATATGTACTGCACAATCGTATATGTGTACGCTGCACCAATCCTCATATGTCAATATGTGTGTAGTTACCCCATACAGATTATAATTTTTTGAAAACCATATTGTTTGGGGTTGTTTGGCAATCTCCCAACCATGTAAGTATTTAGTTTCACAGCTTCATGCCACTGTAAGTCTGTAATCCTTGAAGTAGATTCTAAATTTATCTATTATACATTCTGTTCAGGCAACTTGATGCTCAATTTTATTCAAACAATTTATTACCAATGAGTAATTTTATTTATTTTATTTTATATTATAAATTAAAATTCTGCTCTTTGTTGCTTTTGTTTTGCATTTTACATTACTTTGAACCGAGAACAATAGTGGTGAGTCTTGCAAGTGTTTAATTATTGATGTAATAGAAATTGTGTCATTCTCCTTGTACACTTTTGTATTTAGAATTTCCTCTACAAGTTTTATTCATTTTAGGTGCCAGACTGTTGATACTCTAACGATATGTGGCCAAGTTGCTGTTCTGATTTTGAGGATCGGATCCCATCTGCACGCCTACAACTGTCGCCGCTTGTTAGTTTTGCATGGATGGTTAGCCTAGCAATGAGGCACTGTCAAATATGCTCGTTAGAAAGCTTTGATATTTATGATTACAGTACTTGTTCACAGTTGAATGTAAACTGAATATGTTTTCAATGCCAAAGGAATCAAGAATAGTTGAAGTGTTGATTGTTGATGCTTGATATGTTTTGTGAAAATCACAACTTCAACGATTCAATGCTGAGTTGCTGTTGTCAAAGTGAGATGTGCACCTGTTAATAATATTTCTTGATTGATTGTTAACTATTTCTCTAAGATATGTTTTCCCTGCCTTTATTTATTCAATTTTTTATAATATGATTAATAGATTATAAATTGCTTAAAATTTGTCCCTTTTTTTGGTTTATTAGTTGAATAATTATTAAATTTGAAGTTCATTTGTGTTACACTTCCTGGGAATAGAAGATTATGCTCATCGCAATCAGTTTGTTTGTTGTGTGGTTATTTGATCTTTGTCTTTCCTTTTGCCTATTCAGTGTGTCAGTCTCACAGAGTGTTCAGCTTAGTAAATTATTGGATATGGATCGGATGGTAGGAGAGGATGAGGGCTTGAAACAAATGACAGCGTGCAAGTAAGACTTTTCGGCTATTTTTGTGTGTTGAGCTGCGCTGTGAGCCTTTTTTTTTTTTTTTTTTTTTTTTTTTTTTTTTTTTTTTTTTTGAGCTACAGGATAGTCTTGTTATGAGAAAAAAGCATGATGCCCCGCAGCCCTGGCCTCGGTTAAAAATTCATGTTATGTAAGGTGAATCATGATCTATAAGCTCTAAGTGGAAAGAGCGCCCAAATTATGTTTGGGGGGTTGGTGGTTCAAATCCATCTAGATCCATTCTTTCAACTCATACAATTGATTATATGGCAGAGAGTGTTTCAAAAAAAAAAAAAATGTCAGAGAGAATATGAATTAGTGTTTATATTGTCGATTTGTGTTACGACTTATGAATTATAACTTTGGGTTTAAAGTTTATTCTAATTTTAATCATCACCTGGAGACATTGTCCGAGCACAAAACTACTTTATTGTCTAATTGAACTATTAAAAAAACTTGATGAACTATTGTAGATTAATTATTCATAAGTAGCTTGATTATTGGTTGAAATATTTTATTATTATTTATTAAAAAGGTGAAAATTCTTTATTCGAAAAATAATGTGCATAATATTAGCATGACTTGTTTTAGTAATAGTTAATAGATGTAGTTTTCAAAACAAATCTAATAGTGTTGGTTTTTTATTTTTAAGACATATAGTTGCAACTTTGAAGAATTAATTTTGTCTCTCTCGTCCTTAGAAGCAAGTGACAAAATCAATTTTAATTAATCAAGTTTGTTATCCAATTATTCCCACACAAAAAAGTTTTTAAGTTTGATAAATCAAAGAATTAATTTTAATAATAAAGGCTATGCATTATTTTTGGATCTGATGTAAGATTTCATATATATATATATATATATATATATATATATATATATATATATATATATATATATATATATATATATATATATATATATATATATATTAACCTTAATTATCAAGTGTAAACTTATGAATTGACACTTAAAATGTTTCATACAGTGCTTAACAGAAATCAGTACTGCATAACTGCATTCAGAAGGCCTGGCCTAATCTAATCTAATCTAATCTAATATATATATATATATATATATATATATATATATATATATATATATATATATATATATATATATATATATATATATATATATATAAATAAATAAAGTAGGCATTTTTCGAGAGCATTCGCCGCGCCACATAAGACAAGGTATTATTTTGACCAATAAAATATTCGATTAATAATTTATTTTAGAATTAAAAATTCACTCGCCATCTAAGTAAAAGTGACGAATAAGATTTAAGAATTTTGCCACGTAGGTAAAAACAACGAATAGTGAACAATTAAAATTTAAATTATATAAAAAACTAATAATTATCTTTTTTACATATATGTGGATGTAAATCTTTGATCACAAATATCTTTAATCTCTCCCTAGCAAATATTATAAAAATTAGATATTTAAATAAATAAAACTAAATCTCATATAACTATGTTTTTCTTATATATAGAGAGAAATTTAGAAATCCCCTAATTTTTTTAATAGTTAGAAGATTCTAGATGAGACTAACAGTTTGAAAGAGAACGATTATATAAAAAAACGCATTTGCAAAGGACTAATTTTAACCAATAATAAGGTTTGGAATTTTAAATTCAAGCGCCACTTAAAATAAATAAGCCTACAAAAGAAAACTTTAGTGTTAAAATTTTTTTTAAAAAAATTATCTATATTAAGAATTTTATCCAAAAATTTAATGAATGATCTTCGTATAAAAAAATCTTAAATTAATAAAAATATTTACTAGAATCGTGCATCGCAAAATTATATATACATGTACTTGTACAATATTCCGAAGCTATATTATTTCCTATGTCCCGAAGATGCCATGAGGACACCAACAGCCACAACAAACATCAACAGCATGCTAACTAGCAATGTATATGTTTTTCTTGAAGAATTTCTGTACTCGCCGAAGAATAGTATAGCCCAAAAGGTGCTCACCAGAGGAAGTGCCTGATAAATACCATCCAAAAATTTATACAAGTGCATCAGTAAAATAATTGAATTGGAACAGGAAAAAAAAATGAATAAAATGACTTGTTATATTTGTAAGGGCAGTGATTGAAATTTGACATACCTCAACAGAATCAGCTGCAGCATAACCAGCAGCCTGACCTCCCATGAACTGAAGGCCATTCCCAAAACCACAGAGAAGCCCTGCAAGTAAAGCCCAACCCCTTCCTTTTGAGTCTTTCAGGTAGGCCTTAAACGATGACTTTGGCAATTTTAAGATAGGGTGGTATAGGAATATGATGTTAAGAACAACAGAAACCACGAAACTAGAGACCGTGAAGTAGAAGAAAGCAGTGTAAACCACCAAATGGGGAACTCTTTTCTTTAGGAGATGGAACTGGTCATTTGTTGCTATATTCAATGCTGGAGAGAATAGAGAGATGCACACTCCGGAAAAGAAAGTTATAGCAAGTCCAAGCCATATGCTTCTATCAAAAACCTACAAATTATTAAAAGATTATTGATTAACTAATGTATCTTACATAAGCACTACATGAAGGCAGAGTTTAAATCATGATGGTACTAACAGTTTCACAATCTCAAATCATATATACGAAGTATAGATATCAAATTGTACTAGTAAGTAGGAGTTGTAACTACTGTGATGTAACATATTATATGATTTTGTACTACCATAGGAAATATTATAGGTCATTCCTAAAAATTTGTTGCAGTTGTTGAAGTAGAATACCTTTATGGATCTCTTATTCTCTAGTTCGACGAGGAATTCTGCAGTCCCAAATTGTGCCTCTACCTTAGATTCTTTCCCCTTTTCGGGATCCATTGAAGCACCCTTGTAACTGTCAAAGTTGATTTTGTTACAGAATTGCATTAGAAGACAAAACCACCATTTTCAATCCATTTTATAATTCTTCTAAGAAAAGAAGTAAAAATTACTCTGCTTTGTATTCAAAACCAGTTGACAGATGCCTCAGTTTCTTTTTGTTATCAGAGGCATTAGATGAGTGAACAAATGAGCCTAAAATAACAGCAATCAGAAAACCCGCTACACCGGGAAAAAGAACTGCAGCCTTGTTAATTTTATCATCAAGGAAATAGTTCAATGAGGTTCCTGTGAAGAAAGATTGCAAACCATAGTAAGCATCTAATTACAAACAGCCTCAACTTGTCCAATGAAAGATTTTTCATAGCAAAAGGAAAATACATATTACAACAGTAATGCTACAAACTACCACCTCTACCACTGATAACCCTACTAATGCCCAAGCATATTGCGTGGATAGATTTCCGATACTGAGGACTACTCCACCCGCCATTGCGAATAACACACACGGCCAGTTATCCTGCAACAATCACCCTTACTATGTATCAACACAATTAAACATTACCAAAAGATTGTTAATTGTTGAACTATTACACATAGTATTACACCAATAATATTCATACATTAAAGAAAATTCTCTTGTTTAAACAATAATATAAAGAAAGAGAAGAGGTGACCTGAGAAAGTTGTGTGAAGAAATTAGGCATGCCAGGCTTAGCATCACCAATCTGACCAAGAGTAAGAGCAATGATCACAGCAGCTAAAAGATTGGCAATGGAGTAATCAAGATAACTATGTTGAGGAAGACGGCCACGCCTTTCGAGTAAGGCTAAAATAGCTGTCCATGTCCCCAAGAACAACAAGGCTATTAACATACATACTATTGCTCCTTCTTTGCTCTCTACTACAAGCATCTTTCTATTTAACTCACTTATACACAAATTATACTCTATTTGTATTTTCTTCTTGGTCAAAATATATACAAATATATACAAGTATTAAGAAGAATGTTTACCAGAATTTACTTTTAACTGAAATTTGATGAGAAAAATTACTTCCCAAATATTAAAGTTTCTGACTTTTAAAAATTTAAGCTGTTTCTGTAATTCCTAACGAAATAGTGATATTTTTTTATATACTTGATGTAATACAACTATATAGTAGTGTGACATAAGATGTTGGACTTCGGCTATGTTGATGTTAATTAGGTTTTTGATTCGTTATAGGATTACTTGATAGTCAAGGACATAAGAAGGATGCATAAAAGATTTTTTTTTTTTTTTTTTTTTTTTTAAAAAAAAAAGGTATGATAGAATACCTACCGTTAAATTTCCTTGACTCCAAATTAAGGTAATCCTACAAATTACTTAGACTTTGATTACTAGTATGATGAATAGGCATGTCCAATGTGGTTATCTTTTCGGGCTCAACACAATTATAAGGAGGCCTATTATACATCCACACTTCAAGCCCAACAGGCTCTCGTGTGAGAGAGATAACATATTCCTGTCTTTTTGGGTGTCAACAATTAGTAGTCAAACTTTCAACCAACATGTTTTAATCTCTTACACTCATAATGAAAAACAACAAAAAAGAACAAAAAAAAAAAAAAGGTGCAGAAGCAGCTGTAGTTCTTAGGGCAGGGGAGGAGCCAAATAGAAAATAAGTAACCTTTTTATTTATCAGAATGTTACAGTTGGTGTTCAACATAATCTGCACTTCTGTGTATAAAATGCCTAATATCCAAATTTATTTGACGCTTAATCATTTCCTATGTCCTGAAGACGCCATCAGGATACCAACGGCTACAATGAACATCAGCAGCATGCTAACTAGTAATACATATGTTCTTCTTGAAGATTTTCTGTACTCGCCGAATAGCAGTATGGCCCAAAAGGTGCTAACCAGAGGAAGTGCCTGATAATTACCATACAAAAATTTATTTAAGTTAATTTCATGTATTCAGAATTAATCAAGGATTTTTACGCGCTGTGGATGAGATCTGACATACCTGAACTGCATCAGCTGCAGCATAACCAGCAGCCTGACCTCCCATGAACTGAAGGCCATTCCCAAAACCACAGAGAAACCCTGCAAGTAAGGCCCAACCCCTTCCTTCCGAGTCTGCTAGGTACGCCTTAAACGATGACTTGGGCAAGTTCAATATAGGATAGTACAGGAATATGATGTTCAGAACTATGGCAACCACGAAACAACAGGCCGAGAAGTAGAAGAAAGCAGTGTAAACCATCAAATGAGGGATCCCTTTCTGTAGGAGATGGAACTGGTCATTTGTTGCTAGATTGAATGCTGGAGAGAACATAGAGAAGCAGATCCCCGAAAAGAAAGTTATAGTGAGTCCAAGCCAAATGCCCTTATCAAGCACCTACAAATACATGATGTAATTGAGTTCAAATATGATAGATAACTGATGTATCCAATATAACACAAGCCCTGAAAGAAGGCTTTTAGGAAGTGTGATACTAACTGTTACACATAATCTAATCTAATATCGATATAGTATATGCTAATCGAGTGTATCAAGCCACTCAAAATACCTTTATGGATCTCTTATTCTCAAGTTCTATGAGGTACTCTGCTGTTCCGAACTGTGCCACTTCCTTAGTTTGTCTTCCCTTTTCAGGATCCACTGAAGCACCCTTATTACTGTCAAAAGCAATTTTGCTGATAAAAATGTCTCAGTTTAAAAACTAAGCTGTTTCATATAATTCTGAATACCAAAAACAGAATAAGAACAGAAGTGAATCATACCCTGCCTTGTCTTCGAAACCACTTGACAAATAACTCAGCTTTTTCTTGTTATCAGAGGCATTGGATGAATGAACAAGTGAACCCAAAATGACAGCAATCAGGAAACATGCAACACCCGGGAAAAGATTGTCAGCCTTGTTAATCTTGTCATCGAGAAAGTAGTTTAGTGTGGTGCCTGTAACAATCGAAAGCACACCATCATAGTGAGCCTCTAAGAAAAAAGTCTTGTATCATTGTAAAAAGAAGAAAAACATACCAATTACGACAGTAATGCTAGAACCGACCACCTCTACTACTGATAACCCGACTAATGCCCAAGCATATTGTGTAGATAAATTTCCGATAGACAGGACTACTCCACCCACCATTGCAAATAACACACAAGGCCAATTGTCCTGCAACAACGAACACTTTAGAAGTCCATAAATGACTACTAGTTCTAAAAAATCGGAATAGATTATAAAATAGGATCAACCTGATGAAGTTGGGTGAGGAAATTAGGCATGCCAGGCTTGGCATCCCCCATCTGACCAAGAGTAAGGGCAATGATCACAGCAGCCAAGAGATTGGTAATGGAGTAATCGAGATAAGTATGTTGAGGAAGCCTGCCTCGCCTTTCGAGGAAGGCTAACACAGCAGGTCATGTCCCTAGGAACAGCAATGATAAGAGCATACATGCTATTGCTCCTCCTTTGCTTTCCACCACATACATTTCTTAATATTATTTTCTGATCAAATATGACTGAACTTTGTTCCTTTACTCCTGATCATCACATTACAAAAAAAAAAAAAATGATCATACAGAATTAAATAGAAAGCTCTTTCATTAAGATTTTAAATTCATGCAAAACCAATTACTATATTCAATCTTTATACATGAACAATAATACTTTAAACACACACTCTTGAATGCTGTCATATTTATTTATTTTTTGTAAAAGCATGGTATAATTCTAATTTCCTAGGCCTAACAAGAGGGTAAATATACAGGAAATTTTGTAACAAAAACACATGTAGTAATTAAATAAACAAACTTGAGATTATTGTATAATTTTTTTTGTTAGTAAAACTTAACATGGAATATAAGCACTTCATTTAGGAAGTAAGCTTACCAAATACTCCGATATGATATGTTGACAATGGAGCAAAAAGAAGTTCAAATGAATAGTTTATTGGTTTCTTACTAGTTACTACTCCATGTTATGAGCACATAATAGTGGGTAGGTTGAGTGATATTTGTAATTCGTCATTAATATTGAAGTTTTTTATTTATTTATTTATTTATTTATTTTTGACAAGATTTTTTCTCCATAACTTTTGCATTACTTTTTTTTTTTTGAAAGAACTTTTGCATTACTTACAAACAGTAATATTATTATTTTCTTTTTTTTTTTCCTTGACGTGTTTCATTTATCACACTTGGCAATATATAAAGTTAATCATTAATATCTCCAATTCTTTGGAATAAAATATAATTTTTTTTTTGGTGTTTACAGATGAGCATCAATCCCAATATGTCTTGGAATGGGGATGCATTAGCTCTAACCACTTGAGCTATCTCTCACTCTCTATAAGTAAATATTATAACAATTAAATAATATGATAAGATTTATTAAGACAACTAAACAAGATTTTATTAGACTATGATTTTTTTTTTCCAAATGTATAAATCACAAAAGAAAGTCAAAGTTACAAATATGAATAGTTTAAAAGTCAAATTAGGTCAATTAAAAAAAATAGAAGAAATTAATTTTTTTTTCCCTTACCACATGCATGTTATTATATTACTCATTTTTTGATTTTTTTTTTTTTGAAATATTACTCATTTTCATTTCTGAATACTTTTAACACTTTCTTTTTTTTTTTTTTTTTTTTTTTTTTTTTTTTTTTGTGTGTGTGTGTGTATTTCTAAAAGTTTTGAACATTTTCCCTTTATTTCATCTCTAACAAATCCGTATTATTACCTTTATGTTACAACCAACCACACACTCAACATTATTCTTTACTTTATGCAAATAGTAAATGTTAAGATTTAGTGAAAATGAAAGTTTGCATAGTGTTAAAGATATAAAATTGTTACTTCCATGTCTAAAGTAAGAATATTTAAAGACAGACGACAGACGGAGTGTTATGTTATTGGTCTGAATTTGTAATATAAATGATCAAAGGCGTAATTGACAAATGTACCGATAAAATTATTTTAATTTTTTAAATTACAAGATGCACTTGTTCAATTATGCTTACAGAATCTTGGGATGTGTTGACTATGGAATCATTTTTGTTTTTTCTAGTGCAATGACTATGGAATCTTTTGAAAGGTAGAATTCTATTTACCTTTCATCTACGTTTACAGTATATGATTAGTCAATTTAAGAAGTCCTCAAGATGCTTCTCAATTATAAAGTTAAGAAACATTTTTGTAAAACCACCTTATCATCATCCTTTTTTTTTTTCACCAATAGCAACTCAAATTTAAATTACTTTTTTTTTTTTTACAAAATATTTACTTGTAACTAGATGGCTCTCAGCTTAAATTTTTTGAGCAATCAAGACAAATTAGTAGAGTAAAAGTGTTTCATCTATTTTCAAAAGGGCTTTTTTTTTACTTTTACAACAAACAAAAAAAAATCACGAAATTGTTTTTTATACCAAAAATTTTACTTCCTCCGTTACGCATTATGTGCAACATTTTCCAAAAACGGATGTTACACATTATCTGCAACAAACTAAAACTTTCTTCTTTTAGTAATTTTTTTTACATAAATTACCAATGTACCCTAAGTTAACTTTACTAACATATATTAAATGATTAAGATTATATGTTATCAACATATTAATCAAAATTAATTAATCAATTATCTAAACCCATCCCAATCTCTCTCCTCCCTCACAACCACATCCACCACCATTATCACCAACTTTTCTCTCACCAGCCTCGCCGCCGCCGCCGCCACCACCACCACTTTTCTCTCTCTTCTCTCACAGCAACGGCCCGAATCCACCCAGCCACAACCCGAATCCCCCTAGCTCCTCCCCTCCATGTCGCCGCAAAATTCCCGACCCAAGTTGCCTCTGTCACCCAAACCTACCCCTGCCGCGCCAAGATCCCGAGAAAAACCCCAATCCCAGCCACCAAAACCCTAACATTGCTTCTTTATTTCCTCACTTCGCTTGGAAACCACCGCCGATCGAGTCACTGACCTCCTATTCCATGATATAGTCGCCGATCCTCCTCGAAATTGAAATTGATTAGGTTGCGGTGGTGAGAGAGTGTGTAAAGGGTGGTTTTGTGGTGGTTGCGAAATGGGTGAACTTGGTTGAGGTGGTTTCAGATCTTGATTGTGTCGGTTTCAGATCTTAGTTTTTGGTTGCGGTGGTTTCAGATCTTTGTTTTTGGTTGCGGTGGTGAGAAGGAGTCATGGGATAGGGTGGTGGTGGTGGTGGTTTCGGGGAGTGGGTGGATATTGCTGTTGGTGGCTGGTAGGTGGTGTTAGGGAGAAGCCATGACAGTTCGTTGGAAGTGGTGGCCGGTGACCTTGATTGGTTAATTATCCCACTTCTCTCTCCTATCTTAATCACACACCCTTTCACTTTGTTAATTAACCATTAACAAATTTTGTCTTGGGAAACGTGCAACAAGGTTTGTTGCATATAATGCGTAACGGAGGAAGTAAAAGTTGTATTTTACCATCAAAAAAAATTCTGAATTTTTTTTTTACCACCTACCGTCAAGAAAATCGTTAAATTTAACGTTTAAAATAAAATAAAAACTCTTTGATTTTTGTGCGCAAAACATGTTGTTCATAGGTTTAGGGGGCATTTTGGGGTCTAAGGGACCAATTTGAAGTCAAAATAGACAAAAAATAATCGGAAAGACCTTGTTTTGCATGCTTAACACAAACCGAGGTATTTTTAATCACGCAAAATGGAGCATTTCTGATCATTTTTTGTCGATTCCGACCTCATATTGGAGTCGAAGGGCCAAAATGTCCCCAAAACCCCTAAATATGATGTTTTTGGCACGGTTAGATTTTTTACGACAGGTGGTAAAACAATTTCTAATTTTCTTTTGGTGGTAAATTAAACCTTTTAAAAATTTTAATAGTAAAAAATAATTTCGTGATTTTTTTTTTTGTTCTTGATAAAAGTAAAAAAACACCTTTCAAAAGGGTCATACTTTACTTTATTTTTTTAACAAAACAATTGCATAATGTACCAGAACACTTGGCATAACCTGTAGTATGATAAAAAAATTCTCAATTTGATATTTTGATTGATGTTAGTGTTAAAAGAATTTTGACCGGTATATATTTTTGTCGCGAACAAAAATCCGACCAACTCCATTGGTTTGCCAGCTCTAATTTGGATCACTTTGTAGTATAGAACAAATTCTAACAGATGGTTGAAAGATTGATAAAAACTGAGTACAATTCAGCCATGATTTTCAGAGGAATTGATAATGATGTATAGATGCATGCTTTTGATCATCTGCATAACTTGAATTTAAAACATCTATGTAACTACGTAGAAAGCTACTCCCTTCATCTTAGCCCCATATTCGTATTTTATTTGATTAAATTATGGAAAAATGGAAAAGAAAAATTCAACCTTTGCATTTTTTTCTCCTAAAAATCCAACCTTCATTTTATTCCTCAAAAATCCAACCTTTATACCCCTCCTTCTCCAACAGATCCATTACCTGTTGATGACCAGTTTTTACAAGTTACATGCCACGTGTCAGCTATTAATCGGTCAATTGTTTTTTAATAATTAAAAAACAAAAAAAATTAGGAAAAAAAAAAAAAAAAGAAACCCAGCTAGCCCCACCCTCCTTCCCTGACCACCCACCGGCCACCGGAACATAGCAACCTCAATACCCTCTCCACCGGAAAACCCACACCACCTCCCACCGGCACACACGTTACCCACAAGGCCACAATCACTAATTCGCCACCTACAATCACAATCCCCAAATTAAATGCCGACCGACTACCCCTATCCCCTTTCCCCTTTAGCCTGACCTCCCCCTTACCCCGTCGCGCAACCCCAACGAAGCAAACTGCGAAGCAAACTCCTTCTCCAATGATTTGGCGCCGGGTGGTAATTGTAGTGGAGTCCGGCAACCGAAGCAGTTAACTAGCATCATCATTGTGCGTAATGTAAAGGGGGAGTCTTGAATTTAAACTTTTTTTATTTTTTGATGATTAAATTTAATTTTGATTTTTTTGGGTGTTGTGTGATTTGGGTGTAATTATTTTGGGAGAAAATGGTAGTTGACTGAATATGGGTAAATTGATGCAGCGGTGGTGGGAATGGGTGGAGCACTGGTGGTGTTTGGGGGAAGGAGAGAGAAAAGAAAAAAAAATTACTGTTGGTGAATCGAAATGTGTGGTGGCGGATTTGGTGTTGTGTGGGCTGTCGGAGCCTCGGAGGCGCAGTGTCGGAGGGTTGTTGTGTGGTGGCGGAATAGGTGGCAAGGCAGCTGATGGTTGTTTTCGTTTGTTTAGGAGAGGAGAGAGAAAGAGGAGGAGTGAGAAGGGAAAGTGAGAGAATAAAAAAAAATAACCTGGTTAAAAGGTTAAGGTCAAATGGATCTGTCGGAGAAGAAGGGGTATAAAAGTTGGATTTTTGAGGAATAAAATGAAGGTTGGATTTTTAGGAGAAAAAAGTGCAAAGGTTGGATTTTTCTTTTCCATTTTTCCTTAAATTATTGCGAGCGGAGTTTATAAGATATAAGAGAGAAAAATAGTGACACCTAGATAAGTTTTGTGAGAGTAAAGTTACGGTTTTTATATTAGTTAGTACGTATGGGGCAGTATATAAACGACACCTGAATCAAATAAAGAAGGACAAAAGGAGGGAGTACGTAAAGGAATACACAAAGACCCAAGTTAGACAGTAGACATAGTGGGATACAACAAAAATAAATTGTTTTAGATCCTGCATTTTTAATGTAATAAGCAAAAGTTTATATTTTTTTTGCTTCACACTTTTTAATTAAGTTATTTTTATGTTGGTTATACACTAAAGATGGCAGTGGGTTGGGCTGGGCCGACGGCACTGCACGAGCATGAAAAAAGCACGGCATGACACGGTACTGTGCGTGTGGGCCGTGGGCTGATCCTGGACGTCTTTATTTGGGAGAAGCATAATAAATCACGACACGACCGCGCCGAAGGGTTTATGTCTTCGTCATGTGCAATTACTAGATATATAAATGAATCAAATTATGGAGATGACTAAGTTCGTACATTTGGATCGTCATTATATCATAACTAGAGGTACTAACGATCTTTGAACTAGTAAAAATTGGGCAAATCCCAATTGGACTGATCCTTTAAGGTCACACAAAGGGCCTAGATCGAGCACGAGAGGATGAGGCCCATGATGGGCCTCATCCTCTAGCATGGCCGACCATGCATATGGAGGAATAAGGAGGGTTTTGGGCTTCGTGACTTAGTCTAATTCTAATGGGATTATAAATAGACTAAGTGCCTAGGGTTTTCAGCAATTGCAATTCAGTGATCAGTTGATCAAAACCCTAATTAGCAAACACGAGTCCAACCTCTCTCAAACTCTCTCTCTCACACGTCTCTCTCCTCCCCTCAGCGTCGGTGGTGTGTTGGTGGTGTTCTAATTAGCAACCACGAGCCCAACCCCTCTCAAACTCTCTCTCTCTCTCTCCTCCCCTCGACGCCGGTGGTGTGTTGGTGGTGGTGGTGGTGGTCGGTTGTCCATTAAAGGTGGTGATTGTGGTTTTCCACTTCACTCGACCAATCTAGTATTGGTGGACGGTTCGTTCGAATCTCGTGGACTAAGTAGGGGAGCAAAGCTTGGGGCGGCTCTGTTCTCTCCCTAATTTGCTTGTCGAATAGCTACGTGGAATTTACGCTTTAAAGGTATGATTATATGTGTTGTGTGTTATGCATGCGATCTTGGGATTAGGTGCTTAATGAATATGATTCATGTTTTTCCGCATTATAGTACCTATAAACTCCTACACGCGCGTGCTAAAATCAATGCAATTTTGCTTAGGCATGCAAGTCTGGCACAGCCCGACACGATGACACGTGGGCTTGGGTGGGCTGTGCATGAGCCAACCTTTTGAAAACTTCGGCCCGACAAGGCACGATATGAAACTCGTGGGCTGAATCATGGGCCGGACCTAACTAAACCCCAAAGTATGTGGGCCGGCACGAGGCATAGCCCGATACGGCCTAGGCCATCTTTATTATACACTTGTATAATTCAAATTTCATTTTCCATGAAAATAACTACTTGAACACCAAGTCACCAACCAATGGTTAAGAATAACAGAAAAAGTAGCTAGTAGAATAAAACAAGACTTTTATTATTCATATATCATTTTCCATTTTTCTTCATCATTGTGGAACAACTAAAGATTTTCTTGTTTAGGGAACAATAATAAATACCAAATTATTCTTTCCACAATTATTGCTGGAATATGAACAAGTATCATTTTTAAAAACATCTCCAGGTATGTACATTAGGAGTGTATGGTGAATTTTTATAACAATTCAGGAGTATATGGTGAATTTGAAAATTTTAAGGGGTAATAAACAAAAAACTTAAAGAGTATAAGGTGAAAAAACCGTATAATCATTACAATTTTTGAATAACCATATGACAAGAATATATAACCTCAATAGACTAAACCAAATACATAAGTAACGCAAAAAATTTAAATTAAATTAGAGTAACTATCTAAAACTCTAAAAGTCAAGGTTGGATTAGTTTAGTTTGGTTACAATCCCAAAAGAGCTGAAGGTGGGCACTGGCACATTGATTGAAAAGTGCAAGATGAAGTAAATTTGAAGAATTGTATGGAACCCATATACTATTATTTTCCCTAAGAGAGTGTCATTCATGCCAAGTCTGTTGACGTTTTATGTAGTCAAACTCTCCTCCAACATAACTTAATTAATTTAACACAATGATGATTTATAAAGTTAATATCGTATGATTTTAACTGTTTTGCATGATTTTATCCCTAGGAATTACTTGTATGTTTATAAAGAATATATAACATTTTTATTTATCCAAATGTTTAAGACAGTGTTCAATAACATTAATCAGCACTTTTGTGTATAAAAATGCCTAATACCTAAATTCCTTCGAAGCTAAATAAATCATTTCCTATGTCCTGAAGATGCCATCAGGATACCAACTGCTACAACGAACATCAACAACATGCTAACTAGTAATATATATGTTCTTCTTGAAGATTTTCTGTACTCGCCGAATAGTAGTACAGCCCAAAAGGTGCTAACCAGAGGAAGTGCCTGGTAATAACATCCAAAAATTTATACAAGTTAGTGTAATGTATTTAGAGTTAATACATGGATTTGTACGCGCTGTAGATGAAATCTGACATACCTGAACTGCATCAGCTGCAGCATAGCCTGCAGCCTGACCTCCCATGAACTGAAGACCATTCCCAAAACCACAGAGAAGCCCTGCAAGTAAGGCCCACCCTCTTCCTTTCGAGTCTGCTATGTAGGCCTTAATCGATGACTTGGGCAAGTTCAATATAGGATGGTATAGGAATGTGATGTTCAGAACGATGGCAACCACGAAACAACAGACTGAGAAGTAGAAGAAAGCAGTGTAAACCACCAAATGAGGGACTCCTTTCTTTAGGAGATGGAACTGGTCATTTGTTGCTAGGTTGAAAGCAGGAGAGAATAGAGAGAAGCAGATCCCGGAAAAGAAAGTTATAGCGAGTCCAAGCCAAATGCTCCTATCAAACACCTGCATATGATGGAATTGAACGATTTCAATGATAAATAATCAACAAATGTATGATACTAAACACCGGAACCATTCAATAAAATTTATAATTGCTAGTCAAATATTACATGTAATTAAAGTCTGCTAGTCAGCTTTTAACTAGTAACTATCAAATTTGATGATGTTTGATAAGTATAACTAGTACCTTTATGGATCTCTTATCCTCTAATTCAATGAGATATTCTGCAGTGCCAAACTGTGCCGGTACCTTTACTTCTTTTCCGTTTTCAGGATCCTTTGAAGCACCCTTATTCCTGTTAAATTTCGACTATGTTAATAACATTGTGTATGAATGGAAACCAAGCTACTGACTACTGTTACTGTATGATGAAAAAACCAGGACAAGAAAAGAAGTGAGATATACACTACTTTGTCTTCATAACCACTTGACAAATGACTGAGCTTTTTCTTGTTATCTGATGCATTAGATGAGTGAACAAGTGATCCCAAAATGACAGCAATCAAAAAACACGCGACACCAGGGAAAAGTATGTAAGCCTTGTTAATTTTGTCATCCAGAAAATAGTTTAATGTAGTTCCTGTAAGTATCGAAAGCAGACAGTAGTGAACAATTCAGTAAAAAACATCCTCGACTTGTAAAATGGAAAGATTGAGCACAGAACAGAAGGAAAATACCTATTACAACAGTAATGCTAGCAGAGACCACCTCTACTACTGATAAACCTACTAATGCCCAAGCATATTGTGTGGACAGATTTCCGATACTGAGGACTACTCCACCAACCATTGCGAATAACACTGAGGGCCAGTTATCCTGCAACAAATAACCTTAAAATGTTTAAAATCATCACTACTTCTGTAAAAAATACAGACTACTGATCAGTTAATTGCATAAAGTTATGTTTCTACTGATTCTACTGTCTGATGCATCAGTTATTCAAATTCTTAAATTAAAAGCCATATTACATCTTATTTGATGAAAGGAAAGAACCAAAAAAAATTAAAGAATTCCTCCCATCAAATCTTCTAATGAATAAATGTGCATTCCTTCCCAAAATTAATTGCAACCTTGCAACATATTGACTTAGCAATGTTCTCCAGAGAAATCATGATTTTGTTTTGTCATGAATATCGTAAATTAATTCAAAGTACGGAGTATCAATTTTGAAAAGCCATCAAATGTTTATTTGTAACCATAAAGGGCTACATATATCATTATCCAAATTTTAATGGTCATTATGTTGCGATGTATCCTTTACCGAAGCACAAGTATTCAATTCATTTTGATCTCCTCATTTGTCATGTATCACAAAAAAGAGCAAATATCTTGCTTATAAACAAACAGAAGTTACAGAACAAGGTCATGTACAAGTATAACCATTCAATTTTCAAATAATATCTAAAAAATTTCATCAATTTATATTAAAATGAGCAGAATAAAACAAGTTAGGTAACCTGATAAAGTTGGGTGATGAAATTAGGCATTCCTGGTTTGTCATCCCCCATCTGACCAAGAGTAAGGGCAATGATCACAGCAGCCAAGAGATTGGTTATGGAGTAATCAAGATAAGTATGTTGAGGAAGCCGGCCTCGCCTTTCGAGGAAGGCTAATACAGCAGGCCATGTCCCCAAGAACAGCAATGAAAAGAGCATACATGCTATTGCCCCTCCTTTGCTCTCTACTAGAAACATCTTTAACCCACTTACAATTATCTTCTGATCAAATACTAGTAAATTTGCTTCCTTAAACTCCTCCTGATCATCATATTACACATTTATAGTCATTAATCATCAGAAAATTATAAGCACATACACTTTACAATTAAAAATTTAATCTTTTTCTATTTAGAATCAACAAAATTCAATCTTGAAATCCTTGATAAAACACACAATGATCCAGAGTGTTTTTTTTTTTTTTTTGAGCATTGTATAATAATTCAAAATTCCCAGATCTAAGAAAAGAAGGAAAAAAAAGATATATACACAAATTTCCAAAAAAAAATCATGAAATTCAGTAAGCAAAACAAAAATAAATAATATAAATTCTATGATAAGAACTCAATCTTATGAAACTTACCATTTTGAGAAAAAATGAAAAAAATAATTATTCAGTAATAGGAAACAAGCATTATAATTAGAAAAAGATAACCCTACAAAAAAGAAAGATGACATGATACATTTCACAGAAAACAAACATCAATCAATTCACAACAAAATTAAATATCCAATGAAAACAAACAAAATTATATAATTAATACTTTGTACTATAATTTAAACAAGAAAGCTTACCCAAAATTGATGTGATATTGATTGAAACAGAGTATTATTTACTAAACCATTTTTATTTTCATTTTTATTTTTTGTGATGATGATGATAATGGAGTTTTGGATATAAAATTTGACTAAAATAGTTTTACTACTACTGTATATTAGTGGGTAGGTGGATTGTAAATTGATGATTTTAAAAGAAATTTAGTTTGGAGAAGTAATTTTGTGATTGGATGATCATTGCTATGTAATGGGGATCCGTTGACTTTGGAATTTGACTGCATGGAATCTTTTGAAAAGGTAGAATCTTTTTGTTTCCTTATATTTACTGATTCTCAGTATTATTAGTAACAGCCCACTTATTATGAGTCAATTTAAGTGGGCATTTATTTGTGTCAAAAAAAAAAAAAAAATTAAGTGGGCATTTATGAGTTTTTGGCTATTATTGTAAGATTTCACAACATGCCTTTCAATTATTTGGTCCCACTTGCTTAGACAATCTTGAATAATTGTTGTATACTTGCAATGGCGGACCCGGAGTTGTTCAGAGTTCTATGGTTCAGCGTAAAAACTTTGAAATTATTTTTCTTTTCATTAGAATCAATTAACTAATTTAAATTATCTTATGCAATGTTCGATAACTCCAAAAGTCCGAACCCATGAGTCCATAATTATAACCTATATTATATGAGTCCATCACAAAATCATCCTTCACAAAATCCAATTTTTGGATCGATGGATGACGGTGACCCAACACCCATAAAATCCTAGATCCGCCAGAGTATACTTGTATATGCAAGTGTGTGCAAGTAATTTATGGTCAGCGGCTAGATTTGATGAAAACGTCTCATATTTGATTAGGTATTTGATTTGAAATAGCTAAAAGTAGAAGTAGAACATTATTTGAAATTACATGATGAATTAATAAAACTTTGAAACGGATATATCTAGCATACAAAGGCTTTATCATAATATGCTAATTGACAATGACATCAATTATAACAAACTCAAAGTCTGATAAACAAAACTCACAATAAATGTGGAGTAGCATAAATTGACATGACTCACTTATGTTCCGTTTTTTTTTACTTTAATTGCTGAGTTTTAAAAAGTGGATGTTCGAAGCGGCACGTCACATATGATCCTATCACTTGCAATACGTAACTAACAAATTAAATAGAAAAACCAAAATAAAACAAAATGCAGTTTCAATTCAAGTATATTATGGGACTATGGCCCTTCTTTCACCAAAAAAAAGGTAAAGAAAAACAACATACATGTATTTCATTATTATAAGCTAAGCATACAAAGGGAACATGTATTTGCATCAAAACCAATGGATTTTAGAGTTACCAAGGAGTTTATGCAAATTACTTCAGTATTCCTCTAATTTTCAAACAACTACTACTTTCAAAGTAAACCTTTGGCAATTCTTAGCTACTTCCAACCAATCTATCCACCATTTTCCTTGGAAAGAGACTAAGTAAGAAAACATTTAAACAAATTTCATCTAAACTTGTTACACATTCCCATACTAAACACTGAAGAACCGCCAATGAATCATTATTTGTGCATCATCTTATTCAGTATACTCTAGACTGCAACAATTTAGGACATTGTCTGATGCCAGATTATGACTTTCTGTGCCCAGATGATGCCATGAGGATTGCAACCGCGATGATGAACATTGACAGCATGCTAAATAGTAGTGTGTATGTTTTCCTTGAGGATTTCCTGTATTCTCCAAAAGCTACTACACCCCAAAAGGTGCTCACCAATGGAAGTGCCTGATAATTGACACAAACAATCAAAGAAATTGTTAATACAAAATCGTAATTAGTATGAGGCAATAACAAGAAATCAGTAATCCTGTCTGATCTGCATCACTAGCCTTTGACTGACCTGAACTGCATCAGCTGCAGCATATCCTGCAGCCTGACCTCCCATGAACTGCAGACCATTTCCGAAACCACATAACAAACCAGCCAAAAGGGCCCAACCTCGACCATTCCAGTCCTTAAAGTAAGCCTCAAATGATGACTTTGGCGAGCCAAGGATAGGGCGAAATAGAAAGATGGCATTCAAGATGAGTGCAATAGCAAAAGAGGAGACAGAGAAGTAGAAAAAAGCGGTATATACAACCAAATGAGGCACCCCTTTCTTCAATCTGTGAAACTGATCATTGGTTGCCACATTGAACAGAGGAGAGAAAAAGGAGTAACAAATTCCAGAAAAAAAAGTTAATGCTAAACCAATCCAAATACTCCGGCCAAACACCTGCAAATGGATCACATAACAAGTGAGTTAACTGAAGCATTAGCTGTTAGAAATTTAGGCTGAATCATCATCAAAAACTTCCACAATCAAGACTAATTAATTTAAGCCACTGGCCTTAATGGATCTTTTTTCTTCGAGTTGAATGAGGAACTTAGCAGTCCCAAACTCCGGCTCCTTTGTACTTCCATTTGCCTTTTCAAGGTCCACAGGAACTGAAAGCAAAGAGGAAGTTGAGATATTCTACTCCTAGTCCTAGCTAGTCTAGTGGCATCCATATATGCACTATATGTAACATAAATTATCCTAACTTGTCAACCTTTATGAGCAGAAGATGCTCCATCTGAGGCTGAAATGTCGGATTTCCTGTCAAAAGTCGGAGTGGATGACATCACAAGTCTGAAATATTGTTTCATGTACACAATTCGACAAATTGTTACTACTAGTACACTACTATACCTCATAGCAAATGAGCGAATGTATGAAGTTTCATACTTCTTAAATATTGTCCCAAGTAATTCCTAATGGAATTGAACGAGTTCTTTATCATAGTGCAGACAATATATACCTTTCCTCTTCATCGAGTTTACTATCCATTTTTTTAAGTTTTGCAGTATTATCAGCATTATTAGATTTGTGAACACCCGAACCCAGGAAGACTGCAATCAAAAAACACCCTACTCCAGGGAACAGGATTTCTGCCTTGTTTATTCTGTCATCCAGGAAATAGTTTACTGTGGTTCCTGTTAATTTACAGGACAATTTATTAATTTCAGTTGTTCCAATACTAGACTAAAGGAGTAGAATGGATATAATAACACGAACCTAAGACAACGGTGATGCTAGCACTAACAACCTCGACAACTGATAATCCAGCTAAAGCCATAGCATACTGTATAGATAAATTTCCTACACTAAGAGCAACTCCACCAGCCATTGCAAAACACGCCGAGGGCCAATTATCTGGTAGCTGTCACATTATTATATACAAGATTAAAACATCTAAAAATATGTGCTGGCAAACGTGCCTAAATGAAATGTGTCAAATAATATGAACCAGTACTGTAAGATCCAATTATCAAAGACACAGTTGCTATATGAAAACAGGTTTCTGTTGCATATATTTTTGGAAACTCTTATTATAACACGAAAATGTGACCAAGTTAAAAAGCAAAAGAAAGTTTGTTACCTCAAACAATTGAGTTAAGAAATTAGGCATGTCTGGTTTGCTCTCTCCAATCTCACCTAAAGTAAGTGCTATAAAGATAGCAGCTAAGAGATTGGTAATAGCATAATCAAGGTAAGTATGCTGAGGAAGACGGCCACGCCTTTCGAGGTAAGCCAGTATAGCAGGCCATGTCCCTAGGAAGAACAAAGAGAGTAGCATGCAAAATATAGCTCCTATTTTGCTCTCTACCAGATACATCTTCAATAATCTCACCTGCACAAATTATATTTTTTAAGTCATGAAAAAAAACAATATAATGCAACTTAGAAAATTCTTCATGAAATCCTTTTATTTGCCTGACTTTATGCACCAAAAATATCGTTTTGACTTTTATTTTTTTCTAAGGATAAGATCATTATTTTGAATATGGAAGATTTGAAGGTATAATAGATAAACATTAGCTACCATTTTTGTAGATCTTCATCCTATAACAACAATAATAGATAGAATACATTGAATCAACTGATCTTGCTTTTATTACATGGATTACTCAATTTGGATAAGTTGATCTATCTTCTAATTTGTCAACCCTATCTTAGAATTAATAATCAATGCATATAATAACAAATATAACAATAACAATAATCAACATTAATAATATAATAATAGTCGCGTCACTATAATAATAATAATAAATGGGTATTTTAGTAAAATCATAGGCATAACAAAATTTACAACCTCCCTAAGTTTTTGAATTCCAGACTCAAATGAAAGCTTCACAGTTTTTTCTACATAAAGAACAAACTAATTTCTGACTCAAATTCGACACGTATGAAATTGATGAAGATAACAACGGATTAAGAATTACTAAACTTACCAATAATTAAGATTATAAATCCCCAAAAATAAAATGTTCTTAAAAACATATGGTCAAAACCCCAGATTCAATAAGATTAAGATAAGCTTATCTAAAAAAAAATATAAAGAGGAGAGAGAAAATGTTGCATACCAATAAAATTTGTTGAAGAACAAGATTGAATCAATGCTTAAAGGAAGAACACAACAATGAATCAATAAAAAGTAGGTAACTTTGTTTCTGAAATGGTGAGATTCTATAAATGTAGTTAAAACAGTAGAGAATCAGGAATAAAACCTTAAAATTAGCAAAAACACCCAGAATCTAGATCTTTTTTGAGGTATGCTAATTGGTAACTTTGGCTATTTGTAAATCAATTTATATATAAATCAATTTATATATAAAAGGGTGTGACAAAATAAATGAGGTTGTATGTTTTGAAAAGTATAATTTTATAATTATATTATGAGTTGTTATGATTGGTTAGTTTGGCTTGAATTATGGACAGTTTTACACGTTTTAAGAAACAGTACTTGCTTAAGTAATTTATAATACAACATAAGTACATAATAAAGTGTGATTAGTCGTTGATGATTTGCTTAATTTTTCAAAGTCAAACTTTGATAATATGATCATTGGTACGTCATTTTGAAGCGATGTTTGGAAAAAGGGGATGGTTGTTTTAAACAAAAAGAAATAGGGGCATTCCGAGAATTGAACTCGGGACCTCTCGCACCCTAAGCGAGAATCATACCACTAGACCAAATGCCCATTTGATGGTAATTTATAACTGGTTATTTTTATCTACCTTTGTTTTTCATTCAAATATTATAAATTTGAGAAAATAATTTTTAAAAAAATGAGAAAGAAATAAAGTAGACTTGGTATTTATGTTTCTTACAAGCTTTTTCATTGATTTACAGTAGATAACACAAGGAAAATGACACACTTAAGTACTTTACAGAGTGTCAAAATTTGAGGATAAAGAAGAGAGAATGTGCAAAACATATGAAAGAAAGGTACAATACCCCTTATCATTTTCTGTTCCTCCTGTTTATCATTACTAGCCTATGCATATCACTCTATTCGTATGAAACTGTCAAACCACCCTTGAAAAAATTATAGCAAAAAGAACAAAAGAACATTTTGAAGTTTTAGATTCGCGTATGAGCAAAGCAATCCGGAAACTAGAGATCCATATCCCTTCGATAGTTAATTTGATGCATGATCCATTTGGTCGATAAGCTCTGCTTCACCCAGGTGAATCTGACCACACTGATGGTCTGCTTGCTTAAAAAGCTTCTTTCCTTGGCATTTTAGCCACGCTTTCCAGGAAGTTTCCCAGCAACTTCTGGTCGAAAACCATGTTTGGAATCTGCAGAGCAAACAATGAGTAAAATTTTCATATATAATTAAGGCAAAGTAAAGTGATCTTTAGCTGGTATAATTAGACTACCTTATCTCCAAAATACATTTTGGTATTATTTGCTATCGCTTCAATAAATCTGAGCTCAAGATACTGGGGTGTTAGCTTCAAAGTGTTAGCTTCAGCCTCTTTTACCAATCTGGGAAAGCAGACATCAATATCAGTATCAACATTAGTGGTACTTTGTAAAATTAAAATCATGAGTGGCATAACTGACATGGCATGGGAATTTCACCCCCTCGGCAAATGTTCCGAGGGCTTCCTGGAGTAGAGAGATTCACCTGTAGTAGTAAGCATCAGCCATGCTCTTTTCCCGAGCTAAATTCATCTCATTATCAATTTGTTGCTGGCTTCTGGCACTTTCCTTTTCCATCAGCTTTTGCTCCATGATGATCTTGCTCACAAATGAGTTCTTTTCTGCCTCAGAAATAGCAATTTTTTTCTGTGTCTCTGCCTCCTTCTCAGCAACCTTTTGTTTCTCAATAGCTATTAAAGCCTGAGCGACAGGAGAGATTAAAATTTAAAATAATAAAATGCATGAAACACAAAGAGCTAATACGATATAGCAAAAATAAACCATCCATTGCAAATCAGGGAGGAAAATTAAAAATTTGCAACAAATTTAAGATCCCTCTAAAGTTTAACCAAGGAAAAACTTGACAAACAAAAGAACAGCTACAATTCTTCAATCATGATGACTCTTATAAGTGTAAAAAACACTTTTTCTGCTCCTAAGCAAGGGACCAAACTATCATAAAATCTGCCTACAAATAAATCTGCATCATATTTTACCCAATCCCAATATAACAGAAAATTTCATTCCAGCGATGAAGTCATAAAGAGATCCAGTTGATGTACCTTTGTCCTTTCTTCCTCCATCTGTTCATAATTATGCCTTATACTCTCCGGAATGGTAGGTTTTGTGACGCGGACACTGATGATCTCAACACCAGGAGCGTAACGAGTACAGTCACCCTGGAGAGCATCTTTCATCCTCTCATCAATCTGCATAAGATTAACAGTGTGTCAAAAAAATGCAGACTTTCAGCTGAACTTACAAGTATAGGTAAAGAATTACATATAGAATTAATTGAAAACAGAAATTTGACAGGCAAGGAGATGTATCAAAATTGTGAATACCACAAACATCATTGAAATAGGAACAAGCATAGCAGAAGAGAAGTGATGGGTCAAGAGTTGGCACTTCTAGCTTGCAGCTTACATATAGGTAGGTTGTTTTTTAATGAATAAATCTAGGTTCTAGGAAGTGGATGACCCCAAGATACTTCATGCATTTTCTGTGTTTACATTTCTTCAACTGCAGCTTTCCTAAAAAGCATCACAGCTATGTTTTTATGGTAAGAATTTCTCCACATTTAGTTCAGGTGCTAGCAAAATAAAACCTCTCTAATGATTCCAATGAGTTAAGGCCTTGTGGTAAAAGGTCCATCGACCTCCAAAATACTCATCATTAGCAATATCCTTAATGTATGGTTATTCTTGTTGTTATATATATATAGCTAGGGAAAGCGATTTAAACAGAAAGACAAGAGGCCCTCTTCCCAAAACCTCTCTAATGGTTCCAATCGATTAAGGCCTTAATTTTGAAGCAGTACAGCTACTTTCAAATTTTACAAAATAGTAGTTATTATATAGCACCAAAAACATCAGAAGCGTCATTCTTGTAATTACGTTGCTCACCTGATCAAACATATCAATATAAACTTGTTGAAGAGCATGGGAACTGCAGAATTGATTGATCTCATGATGAATTTTGTCATATATCCATGTCTTATCATAGTGCACACCATAATTCAGAAGAGTATCATATACAGCGTCCTTGTTCAGCCTGTTGACAACCTGAACATAATATTATAACTAAGTTCCACATAATATACAGCAATACAACTCAACTTGAAAAGGCAAAAATCAGTAACACCAATTGATTTGGAGCAATGATACTAATGCAAAGAACCTCCAAGTAATTAAGCATACCTCTATCCTGTTGAAGTTGATCATAACACCTCCTTTTGTGCCACATGGAATATTTCTAACCTACAAAGTACAACTTGAAAAGTCAATACAATTATATATTCTTTTTGTGCCACCTTTTGATATCAAATACTTGCACCATTCCATAATATCGTGCCAATTTCATTTTCCTCGTTTTTGAAGATGTAGCTTTGACCATCAATATCTTTAATTACGTGTTAACAAAAACTGTTAAAAAAAATAAAAATAAAAAAAAAACTGATATTATAAAATTACATATTAAGACGAATCTAACAATATGACACATGAGAATTGTTCGCCAAAGGTTTTAAGGTATGTCCATGAAATGGAAATGGACGCTATTTTATGGGATAGAGGTGGTAGCAAATTCGACTGGAAAATAAGAAAGCATAAGCACGCTGCTCAATCAAGACAGACAAAAGACCAACGAGGACTCGTAGAACTACCTGGTCAGTCTGAAGCGTCACTTGTATAGGTTCATAATGAGTAATTATAGGCAGCTTCCAGTGAAAACCTGTTTCAAATTAATCAGATGTTTTGCACAAAACATTAATGGAAAACATAAAATGTAACAAAAAACGCAAATTCACACCAGGATCAGTAATTGTTTTGAGCAGGGCACCCCCTCTCCAGTAAACACCAACATGACCTTCAGGCACTTGGTGCAAGATCGTCAAGCTCGTCTTGTTTGTTGACATAGAAGAAAGCACAACCTGCCAAGTTTCCACAGCATATCATACAAATTACTATTCCAAACAAACACAAGACAATCCCACACAAGTGCGTAGTATGATATTTTTCAATAAAACCATGTCCCTAAGTAAACCTAACTGAAACCCGACCATGGCCGATCAATTTCCTTGATGAACACAATAAAAACAATCAAGATTTTGCTACTGTATATATACTTGTAATATCCAATTAAATCTCTGATTGTTGTTGCTTTAGTAAATTTTAATACCCAATTAATGAATTCCTCATTTTCTTCCTTTGAACATGATCAAAAAACTAATGATCATTATATTTGGTGCAATTATACTGAAAAATTTTACTCATTAGCAAACACAAGAAATCATTGAAGATTTTCAAAAGAATGATTAAAACAATTACTATTGGCTCACTTTAACCAAATTTAACTTTGCACCTCATAAAAAGATAAATAGAATAATTAATAAATAAGCATCTAAACTCGATTACCTTTATACATCTGGTCAATCTTATGAAGCAAAGAATTTATTCGAAAAGTAACCCTAGAAATTGAAATTGTAGAAAAGAAAAAAAATACAAAGAATTTCATGGATTTGATCACTCAATCAATAGATTAATTGATCAAATAAACCTAACATGGCGAAATGAAATCAAATTGAAGCCACATTTCATCAATTTCAACAAATTATAATCGAAGAATTAACACTGGAACAAATTTAAACTCGAACAATTGAAATGCACAGAATGTGATCGATAAAAGTCCGCAGAGAAAAACTTAAGTAAACGATGATTAAAGAGAGAGAAAGTACCGCAGTGAAGGCAGCAACGATGAAGAAGAGCAGAGGTAAGATGCCGGAGAGACCGCCGCCGCCGGCAGAACCACCGGCGGGAGGCTGAGGTGGGCGTTGTTGCGGTGTTTGCTGCTGTTGTTGCTGCAGTAAAGGGTCCATGTGTTAATTGGTTTTTGGTGTATTTCTTGGCAACTTCCTTGAATTGGTTACTTGTTAGGAACACTCACAAAGTCACGATTTCTACCACTCAACTTTGAGTCTATTTATACTTTATTTCTATATATATATATATATATGTTGACCAAAGACTCAACTTTGTGTGTGTTACGGAGTAAGACGAGTGCTTGTACTCCGTAACAACTATGAAAGTTACAAACAATTCCAATAAAATACTCGGGATGTATGAAATTTGGTTATGAATTACGATAATGGTAATGAATTTAAGTGTTCTAAGCGCATTGTGAATGTGGCTGGTGAATTAAGAAGTAAAGCTTGAGTCACTATTTTCATGATCCACTTTTAGAATAATGCAAATTGATTCATGTAACATTATATTTTTAAAGTTGTTTATTTATTTGGTTTGAGACCTGAAAATTTTTATCACTCTCCCAAACTGGCATCTTACTCCCTTTTTCAGTTTTTTGTGACATACAAAGTATGTAGCAACAAAACTAACGAGAGTAAGGCCCCATTCTCTTCACCTTAATTTTACTGAACTGAAATTATTTTTACTTAACTGAAATTATTTTTTGCTGACCTTAAATTATTTTTACTGAACTTAAATTAATTTTACTAAACTGAAATTATTTTTGCTGAACTGAAATTATTTTTACTGATTTTCTATTATAATTCTTCTTTAAGAAAACTGAATTTTACTAAACTGAAATTATTTTTAGTTAATATTATATTTGTAATAAGGAAAAATCCTTGCCTATTCTTTGCCCTGTATTCTCTCTGCCAGCTGCACTGTGTGTGCTGTCATAGTGTTGTAGGAATATTTGTATACCGTTAGTTGCAGCCTTGTTTTCAGTGCAATGATTAGGTGTAGGTAACTCTGTAATTTGTCCTGTAGTGACTATTTATTGTCTTAGGCTGCTTTCTTTGTAAGCTCAATAGAGCAGATATTTTCCTAACCTAATATCACCTCTTCCTCCTTCCTTCTCTACTCTCTTTCTCTCTCAATCTGTTGTCCTCTTGCATCAGGCATATTTAACTCTTCATGGTATCAGAGCCATTGGTGCAAAATCAGGACATTTAAAATCATTAAATTTGCTCTCTATATTTCAGTCATCAGATCCATAAAGCTTTTATCTTTTTCTCTTTCTTTTTTTCTCAAAATCGGAGCTTTACATAATGGCAACTGATGCAAACAGTGTGCTTTATTTGCACCCAAATGATGGTTCTTATTCCATCTCAGTGGACAAGCTTACTGGAGCCAGTGACTACAGATCCTGGAGGAGATCCATGGAGATTGCACTCACATCAAAAAAGAAGATTGGCTTTGTTTTGGGCACTGTCATTCGTTCTACATATGCTGCAGATGCTGTCAAGGCAGATCAATGGGACACTTGCAACTCTATGGTAATATCTTGGATTCATGCTTGTCTTTCATATACAATTAAAAAAATCTGTGCTTTATGTCAATAATGCTAGAGAAACATGGGTACAGCTTGAAAATAGATTTTCTATGGCAAATGGGTCTAGAAAATATAAGTTAAACAAAGATCTTTATCAACTGAAACAGAATAGTAACACTATTAATGAAAATTACACTACTATGTCTAGTCTGTGGGAAGAATTGGATTCAATGAGTGCCTTGCCTGTTATTAGTGAAATATCTGCTAAGGTGAGAGCTTTGCTAAACACAGTAGCTAGGAACCAGGAAGAAAGTAGCTTGTTTCAGTTCTTAAATGGCCTAGATGATCACTATGGTGCCATGAGAAGTCAAATGCTCATGCTCACCCCTCTCCCTACAGTAGAGTCTGATATCTAAAGCTGAATCAGACATCTCTGCTATGTATGGTAGACAATTTCCAGCAAAACCAACTCTTATCTGCTCTCACTGTGGTGGAAAAGGTCATACCCAAAATAAGTGCTGGTATATCTATGGTTTTCCTAAGAAACAGGATAAGCCAAGATTGAATCCTGTCAATACAGGTAATAAGGAAAAATCCTTTAATCAATCTTGGAACAACAACAACAACAAATTCAAGTCAAAATTGGCTGCTGCAGCTCAGTTTCCAGTCATAGAAGGAAGCAACATAACCCTCACCTCTCAGCAGTTTGAACAGTTGTTGAAACACATGCCAACTTCCAGTGCAACAAAGGGAAGTGAAACTGATGAAGAAATAGAAAACAGTTTCTCAGGCATGGTGTCCTGTAATCATGCAGAATCTGTCCTAAATGGGTGGATAATTGACTCAGGGGCTTCAGATCATATGACATATGATCTGAGTAAGTTTACAGACCCTAAAATAGTTGTTGTTGTTCCCAAAATAACTCTTCCTACAGGTGACTCAGCCTCAATATCTCACACTGGTAATGTTAGCTTGTGTAACTCATTGAATCTGCACAATGTGCTGTGTGTGCCTAAATTCAGATACAATCTCTTATCTGTGCCAAAATTGACCAAAGATTCACAGTGTGAGGTGAATTTCTATGGAACACATTGTGTAATTAGAGATGTTGTTTCAAAGAAAATAAGAGGAATTGGGAAAGCCAAAAATGGGATGTATTACTTGGTTAATGAACCTCTGGGAGCTGACTTGATGTCTCAAGCACAGAACACTCATAATTATTTGGCAGCTCAGAGTGATACAGGTTCAGTTCCCTTCGCTGTCTGGCATCATAGATTGGGGCATGCTTCTGTGAAAAAACTGCAGTACATTCCTTGTGTGAAGAAAACTATCAAGGAAAATAGCCAGATTTGTGTAACCTGTCCAATGGCAAAATTTACAAAATTGCCATATCAGTTGAGTGAGTCTCATGCTGCTGAACCCTTTGAGCTCATTCACATGGATATCTGGGGTCCTTACAAGGTGTGTACCAGAGAGAAGTATAGGTACTTTCTCACTATAATTGATGACTACTCCAAAAATACTTGGGTGTACTTGCTCCAGCACAAATCTGACTCATTGAAACAACTGAAAGCTTTCTCAGCTTATGCACAGACTCAATTCAACTCAAAAATAAAATATTTGAGATCAGACAATGCTTTGGAGTTCCATGACAAACCTTGTCAAGAATTTTTTGCTGAGTTGGGGATAATACATCAAACATCCTGTGTGGATAGACCACAGCAAAATGCAAGAGCTGAAAGAAAACACAGACACGTCCTTGAAATATCTAGAGCAATTAGATTTCAAGGTGGATTATCATTGTCTTACTGGGGTGACTGTGTCATGACTGCTGTCCACATTATTAACAGACTTCCTACCCCAGTTCTGCAAAATAAAACACCATTTGAAATGTTGTTCAAAATCCCACCTAAATATGATCATCTGAAAGTTTTTTTGCTGTTTGGCATTTGTTGCTAACCCTTCATTGATCAAAGACAAAATTGAACCCAGAGGCATTCCATGTGTGTTTCTAGGATACCCAGCCACACAAAAAGGTTACAGACTCCTTGACTTGAAAACAAAGAAAATTTTTGTGTCAAGAGATGTAACATTTCATGAAACCATATTTCCTTTACAAATTCAATCTCTTGAAAAATATATGACACCTTTTCCCAATTTTCTAAACCAAAACCAAACCACAAATTTGCCTGTAAATCCTCATGATGATGAGTGTGATCATACAGTTGCAGAAAATGACACAAACAGTGCTGAAACACAGCAACTCTCACTTCACACTCATCAGAACACCACCCAACCTGAACCAGCAGCAGAACTAGTCACTGAACCTCAAACTGATCCTGATACTGAACACAATTTGAGACACATCACAAGAATCTCTAAACCACCATCCTGGTGGAAAGATTATGTGCAGCCTCAGAAGAAAAGAAATTAGGAAATTTCAAACCTTGCAACTCAGCAAATAAATGCTGAATTTCATTGTTTCTTGACTACACTTACTGCTCATAATGATCCTACACATTTTAAACATGTTGTGAATGAAGAACATTGGGTAAAGGCAATGAATGAAGAGTTGGAACAATGTGAAAGGAATGGCACATGGATTGTTACCACCCTTCCGCAAGGAAAAAAGGTGATTGGTCACAAATGGATTTATAAAACAAAATATAAATCCAATGGTGACATAGAGAGACACAAGGCAAGAATTGTTGTGCTGGGAAATAGGCAAAAATATGGGCTGGATTATGGAGAAACATTTTCTCCAGTTGCCAAGATGACAACAGTCAGAACTCTATTGGTTGTGGCTTCCTTAAACAACTGGATAACAACACAGATGGATGTGACCAATGCTTTCTTACATGGTGACTTGGAAGAGGATGTGTACATGTCATTACCTCAAGGGTATACTGGATATGGGAGCAGAATAACAGTTGGTGCAGATGGCACAAATACAAAAAACAGCAATCTAGTTTGCAAACTAGTGAAGTCCTTGTATGGACTCAAACAAGCTCCTAGACAATGGTTCTCAAAATTGTCAACAACATTGATATCTTTTGGTTACAGACAATCAAAATTTGATTACAGCCTGTTCATCAAAGAAAACAACAGTTCAACCACTGCTATTTTGGTTTATGTTGATGATCTTTTGATCACAGGAAATGACAAGGAAGAAATTCAAGTTCTAAAATCTCTTCTCTCTTCTCACTTTCATATGAAAGACCTTGGAAAATTGAGGTACTTTCTTGGATTGGAAGTTGATCATTCTGATAAAGGAATATTTATCTCTCAGAGAAAATATACCGTGGATTTGCTGAAAGATCAGGGTATGCTGCAAGTCAAAGCACTCAAGTTACCCATGGACACCCACTTGAAGCTCAGTGCAGACAAAGGCACTCCCCTTCCTAATCTTGTAGTGTACCAGCACTTACTGGGAAAACTGATCTATCTCACAGTTACAAGACCAGACATTGCTTTCACAGTGCAAATCCTGAGTCAATTCATGCATTCTCCAACTGCAACCCATTTGCAGGCTGCAAAGAGGTTGCTGAGATATCTAGCTGGGACTGTAAACCAAGGGATTCTTCTAGCTTCTTCTTCTGCTGCTAAGCTGGTAGCCTACTTAGACAATGATTGGGCAAGTTGTCCAAACACTAGAAGATCAACCACAGGATACTGTATCT